GGTGTTCCAATTGTCTCTGTTTTTTATTAAAGGTTTCAAAAGTATTTTGTCCTTATTAGCGTTATAAACCACGCGGCCAATAATTGGAACAATGCAGTCAAGGCAATATGTAGACCTATCATGCAAATTGTCTGCAAATACATATGTTTGTTCGTTTTTAACTGGATTTGCAGATAGGACTGTTATATAATTGTTCAGATCATCCCAATTTACTACGGATATTTGACATATTTCCCATGAGCCTACTGAAGTCATCAGAGTGTTCAGATAAGTCTCTTACACCGCTCGAGAGGAGTGGAACTTGGAGATCTTGCTAGACTTCAGAAAGATGATAACCATCTCGGGTTGCATTTGAGGTCATTCTGACAGTATGGACTTTTAATCGGTTTTTCAAGTTTTATTTCGCCCATTTAGATTAAAGAATGTATTATTTCTTCTTCATTCACATTTCACAGGGGTGCTTTGAAGCTTATCTACAGGCGAGTCACGACCATAGTTTTGGGATTCAGGTTCGTGCCATTTGCAGAACTCCCTAAATAATGGTATAATAATATATTTCTGCAAGGGCAGGTACACGCCATTTTTGCAGGCATGATCTACAAGTTAAAACAGTTGCTGGTTAACAGTATGCACCCCAAGCAGGGTAGTTTAGTAAATATAATTTTTCAGTTTTCAAAATATTTTCAAAAGGGGTATCGCGTCCACGTTACACACCAGATCCAATATCGGCAAAGTTGCGTTAGGATTTTGGTCGCGCTAAGTATTTTTGTAATACAACCTTTTAAGTTTGTAGTTGTTATAAAGTAGACTTGCGGAGCTCTTCGTGTGAGCTATGACCTTGGGAAAGTGCCTACGTCTAGTTTGCCCAAGATGTCAGAGGTTCCACAGCGTTGCCCTCAGAGTAAGATTCTGAAAAAAGAGAAGCCGAGGAGCAGCAAGGCATTTGGATATGAACGACAAACAATGCTTAACATTTAGTAGTGAAACAGACAGAGGTATGATAAATTATTAGATTAAATTCACACTAGCTCATGTTGCTAGAGTGAAATGTGATCAGAGGCTCTAGATGAGAGAGTGTAGTAATAAAGAACAATGAGTTGTGATATTTATCAAGATGGAGTAGGTTCGAATGAAGGAAGGGAATTCAAGTTTGGAATAAGGAAGGCCGTTTATCAAAACAGAGAGTGCATATATAGAGCAAAGTGTTGAGTAAACTAACAACCATATCTACTCGTAATGAACTCTCTGAAAAAGTGGCTTACACCGATTCACGAAACGTCGGAAAATCTAATTTTTATACTCATTGGGATTTCACAAATATATTATTTATTTATAACAATCTACCCAATGCTCAATTTATTCAAAATTAACAACCATATCCTTCAAATCCTTTTTTTCATCATCCGATGCCTGCCTCAAAGTTCTAATGTAAAACTCCGGGTTAGCATGTTATAGGTTGTCTTATTAGAATAGCTAATCCAGCATAAAAAATAGGAACACGAGTCTGAATAGTGAGCGTAGGAGAACACCTCATTATCACAGAGAGATTGACTTGTTCTTATCCATAAAGAGTCTGATACAAACAAAATGTTCTGCCCCACAAACATGGGTGGATTGAAGTCATCGCTCTCACCATCAATGCTTACTGGTCAGTAACTTCACCCTCCCTCTTTTTTTAATGTTAGGCTCATTCAAGCTTATTTTTTGGATATGGATCTTACCTCACACAACGCCCTGTGTTTCACATCCTGTTGGAAAACACTATTTCTATAAGTACCATTTTACAAGCTTATCAGACGGTTACAAATTATGGACTGTGGGTAAGGCATCGATGCAATGCTTTAATTGACCATAGTAGGAAGTATATGTTGCCAATCAGATAATAGGCATTAAGAAGGATATAATGTAGCACAGCTGTTTATCAAAGTAGGCGGAAAAGTGTAGAAATATATTAGTTACAGATAAGGTAAGGTAACGAGTTGTAAGATAATAATAATGGCAAGGCAACATAGTGCACAGAAGAGTAAAAAGCTGATAAAGGATACACAAGAAGGAACTCACACTGAATTCGTACTGATGGTATTTTGTTCTATCCTAACAGGTTGATGGGTAACAGGTTTCATAGATGCAAGACCACTGGTGGTGGGCAGTCTATTGTGCGTTTCTTTTGACTTTTTAGGGTATTTGTGAGCGTCCCTTAGCTACCGAGTATTGATTGGTCTAGTGAATTGCCTGTCTACTTCAATTAAAAAAGTATTGGGGGAGTACATAATAAAACTAAAAAGTAGGGAAATAAGGCAATCTAGTCCATATATGTAGAGAGCCTATGATGCCTGTGTGGGACGTGGATGTGTTCGTTTGTGCTAGATCTGTGCAGGTGAGGGCTTGATCGATAGGTCTTACAAACGTATGTAATTTATCTGCCATGCTTATTTCAGAAGGAAGACTGTTCCATATTAATGTATACTTCATGAGGAAGAGGGTTTCCCGAGTTTTTGATCTGTATTTCTCAACTTTGACTGTGGACTTAATAAAGACTTATTTTAGCTTCGTTTTGAAAGAAATTACGAAGAATGAAGCCAAGCGATCTCCGCACTTGTGATGCTTTAGTTGAGATATTTCCTGAGAAGTTTGGAATGTCTAAGTAATTTACCCAAAGGCCAGTTACTAATGTCAGTCTGGGCAGTGTGTTCTTGTTAAGTTCTAGTTTTGTTTTGAGAAACGTGTCTCCAATACATAGCCAACCGCATTTCTCTGTGTTGAGATCTAACCTCCAGCGTTTGCATCAGTTGTCTACCTTGTTGAGTTCATGTTGGATTGTTTGCATAGTACTACGTACATCGCAAATGTCAGTTTCGTAGATGACTTTTAAGTCATCAGCCTAGAGGTAGGTCTTAACTGTGGTAAAGCACTTGCATATATTGTTGATGTAGATTATAAAGAGCATTGAACCCAAGACACTACCCTGCACAACACCACTGGTTATTGGTCGAAGTGTAGATGTTGTGGAGTTAATCTTAGTTATTTGGTATCTGTTTGTGAGGAAGGACTCAATCCATTGCAATAGGGGGTTTATAATTCCAACTGACTGAAGTCTGTTGATTATGAGGTACTTTATCAAAGGCTTTCTTTATATCGAAATGTCATATGTTTAAGGTAGAAACTTTTTAAAGGGGAATTTGATATACAAGCAGAATCCATAATACAAAAGACAAACAACCCAAAATTTTTATTCAGCAGTTGATGTATAACATTTAAGACATCTGATATGACAGAATAAGATGGAAAAAACACGAAGTTTTACCCAGAAATCTGACATACAGTTGATCAAAAAAATTCATATCCGAAGGTTTACTGTAAAGTAGCTAAGGTTAGTTTTACTCCTTCACTTGGCTAATTTCGTCAAAACTAATCTTACCAGCACCAAATGCATACCTGTAAGATCCAAACCTAGTTTCCAACTAGGTTTGATTTGTTTAACAACTGACGAGTAAAATTAGAGACGCGCAACCCCAGTCGAAATCAGAACAAGGTGTTTTGGGGGTAATAGCGGTTCTAAATTTCATCATATATACAAATGTACAAATTTACCCAAACAAATATTACCATTCAGGTATTCAACCAACAATTGATACCAAAATATTCAATCTGAATTACAATGAATAGCAAAGTGGTAAGAAATATATGAAAATTACCGAAAACACCAAAAGGTGAGTGTTATTCTATCCTTTCTGGATAGATCAAGTAAGATTCCGTTTGAGCGGCTGTTCTGTAACAAAGTGTTTCAATTTCTGGGAAAGTGCTCCAAATTACAACCAAAAATGCACGATCCTGGTCAAAGTCCAACTGCACAATCAAAGAGCAAGCAGTCAATATGGCAGCCGCCAGAATAATGGCAATTAAAACAAACTAAATACAGTTCAATAAGGAACATAGACTCAATAAAAACGATAGTAAAACCAAGAAAATTAAACGTCACAGTCTTAATTAGCATCAAAAAAGTTAAAAATATATACAAATAAAAAAACGTAAGGAAGAAATCACAAATGTATGCATGGAGGGAATTTCACTTTAAAAACGAATCTAACAATACCTCTTGCGTAACTCTTTTACCTATAGAACAATTAAACATTTCGACAAGATGCCTTTTATCAGCTACTTTTAAATAATCTTGACCTGTCAAGGACTTATATGGATAAGGAGTTAAGCGAGTGTGTTGATGATTCGATTGAAATGTGTCAACATCCGAGTTCTTTTGCCTGTGAGTTTCTCAAGATTTGGGTTGGATCTGGACTCCGTTTCAGAGGTTTTAAGTATTCATTATTTATTTAGCCTATTCTGCTCGGCTGACTATTTTATACTAGATTACATCAATTTATGAATCTGGCGTTTGACAGTAGTAGATTTAAAGGCTCCTAGTGTAAATCAGATAAACTTTTCCGAAATACATCCTATATCAGTTTCACGGTGGGTGTGTTGGAGCATGTTTTATTAAGTAGTACATTCGGATCTAGATCTTTCGGTTTCAGCTAAGGTTCTTCTTGGTATGATATGATATACTTCAATATCTTTTAATAAATCATATGGGAGGACATGCCATTCTGTATTTCTTACATCCAGAGTTTGTACATTTGAGGACATTCTCAAAAGTTTTCAAGACCTATATGGAGTCGCCTACGGCTGGAGCCTCCTTTCTCGTGTCAAGTTGTGAGTTACTAAGAATCGCTGCCAGTGCACTTGTTGATTTGTTCAAATTGAGGATCGATATAACCTACTCGTAGTTCTATTGTCACTAACCAACACCGAAGTGTGATTGATTACTTATGAAATACAGGTTTGAAGTCATGGATTTTCCTGTCACAAGGAGGCACAAAGGTAGCTTGTGCTATCTATCGTTTATAAATTTAAAAACTATTGAAAATGGAGCTTGTCTCATATTGTTAATAAGTAATAGTTTACTATATTGTTGAACAATGAGTTTGTTTATACCTATCATCATAAAACTATATGGTTTTGTGAGTTACTTGACCTCACGCTATATTTGAATCGCTTCTGATGTGGGCCTAGGACTTGATGCTAGATTTCGTTTCAAAGCGTTCGGTTGTCTTAATCATGTCATCTGAACCGAACGAATTTACTTATGACAAACTGCTTGCTTTTGCATCAAGGTATAACCGGCGACTACAACAGGATAAACTTAGTCGTTTACCATTTCTGGACAGCGCCACCGGAATAGCTCAAAGACCGTGCTTGCTTTACCGCAACCAAAGAGAAAGGGAGGGAGGTGAGTGACTTTCCACAAAGAGTGAACCTGTAGGCTATCTGACTCAGGTTTATCGATATCGTTCCCACAGGTGGAAGAAAAGCAAACGAACTGGCCAGCTTCCTTCTTTCCTGTATCATGGAGATGCGTTAAACGGGGTTGCTAAAATGGGTAAATTCGTAATATTTCTTTACCATCAGATCGTCCCAATACCTCAGGATTAGACTCGTGTTCTAAGGATGTAGACGATGATTGTCGTAGTACTTGGGCTGCATGTCCAGAATATGATATGGATTCTGATGCAAGTGATTTCGCAGATGAAAACTTTGGAGTTCGTAGACGCCGAAAAAAAGGCCGGGTGAGTACTGGTTGACGTTTTGAGGCCTTTGTGTGTTTTGATCACTACTTAGTCGATGATTCTGCCATCTGGTTGTCCCATTTGCAGTTAACATAAACTTTTGATAACATTCGATGTACTTGGATATAATCGTAACTGTTAAGCAGTTATTGATCGTAGTGGGTATTAAAAACAGACGAAACCACCCAAAAACCGTACCTCCTTAGTAATCCGAACTCAATATGTCGATATATATACTTATCTTACATAAACACCAGACATGAACGATGCAAAGCTTGCACGGTTTCAATCTAAACTGACTCAAGACAATCAGATTGCGGTCGTGTCTTGTTTTGGTGGGGTCGAGTTTACTATTTTACCTACATCTTACTTAATGTGAACTTCGGCATCTGTCGCTCACTACACCTTCAAATTACGATTACGGCTTTGTTGTGGGTTCAGTTTTAATTCTAAAAACTATATATATATACATATATATATATATGCTAGTCGCGTCCTCGATCGAGTGGTATTGATTTACTTATGGAACTGAGATACTGCCTAATGTCTCGATTTTTATTCTTTCTGTCTGTGAACTTCACCTAAATCACTTCATTTGCAACCTCTACTTCGCAAATTCTCTGTGCAGTTTTTATGGTTCATGAAAGATTCCAGCAAATACACTTATGCTAGATGGGAATTAGACTCGAGTGCCATTGGCCTACAAAGACATTTGTCCTAATATTACTTTCATTTTAATTGACTTTCAGCTATGTTTAGTTTCGTCTCAAATGCCTTGTATACGATTAAATGTGTTTTGCCAGCCAATTGTCCTATTATCATATAATGATTTGTTCTGGTAATTGTGCGTCATTAATGTGGTTCTAAGCAGTCATTTATCATCTACCTTTCTTCGTTTCATGTGGTCCATCATACGTCAATTGATTAGTTTATTGAACTCATCATTAGGATAAAGTTTCCAGATATTTGTGATATAATTGGCTTAATAAAAAAACAAGTTAAATGTTAGCTATATATTGTCCTTTTCCATTTAGACTCCACGCATAAGCAGGTCCAACTACTCTGGACCTGGTCGGCGACGTTCTAATTATACCTCATTCGATGATGACTCGAATGACCGTCAAACATCCTTGCCAGTATTTCTGTGTGAGTTTTGTGGCGTACGATACAGATCGCGAGCCGGACTAAATTACCACATTAATTCACAGCATTCAGAGGTACGTGTATTTCCTTTTATTCTAGGTTTTTGTTAATATTTTGGCTGGATCGTCTTTTATGTGAACATTACACATAAATATTTTACTCCTGGTTCCTAAGTTCATCTTTTCGTAACAACTCAGCCAAAACTAACTTGGTAAAACTTCCTGTCAATATCAGGATTTAGGTCATGATATCCCAAATACGCTGCTGCAAAACATAATGGACCCCAAACAACATAAATAAGTATATATTTGGTTGTCATTTGTCATAGATGTACTGCTTAAGTTAGTTCTCGCAATATCAGGTTTCGAAAACTAATATCCTACTTGGATACTCCTGATTTAAAGTATGCATATAAGTTTTGTTCTGAAAGGATGGTGCTGAAATTCGGTTTCCTGGATGCTTTAAGCGACTACAAAAACACTTGAATTGCTCTTTTAACCTAAATATAAACTGCTACAGAACTGATCTGTACCCATGCATATCCAAATGCCCTGGTACGGCTGAGAGTGGAGAGAGTCAGCTCTCTCTCCCTCGAAGTGCTCTCACATGGCCACGTGCTTACAACCACTGTCAGAGAAGTCCTACTCATTGTCTTCTTGCAGTGGTGTCGTCTACGAAATGAAGTTCACTTGTCTATTGTTAATTTACTCCATTTTTAATCTATATGAGATGTCCCTCGGCCCATTGAAGGATGAGTATAGTACGCAACAGTTCTATGTGCATTACGAATGCCTGTAAAGGGAAATATGTGTAGGCTTCTACAGTCCCAATTACAAACGTTATGATAGGATTCTTTACATATGGTGAAACTAATGCATTAATATTGAGACTGCGTACAGGGTGCTATGTAAATATGATGGAACACTCGGCGGATCTGTAAGGGAAAGTTCTGTCTACATGACAGCTTGACAAAAGAGCCAAAAAGATGTTTCTTTGATGTCGACCACATAATGTTTGTGAGTAACTTGTAATACATTGCCACTAACAGCAAAAATATGTTAAACAAGGGTGTAGGAGTAACTTTTTCTTTCGTTTTCATAAAGACGGAAACCCTAGAGATGCTATTTACCTATGGTAAGACTTTACTGCCGTAACTTCAGTGCGGTCGACATTCCCAATTCTCTCTAGCCGATTAATTTCTTTCTCCTACAATTCCACGTTCAACTTTCATTGGATGATGGTACCGCATGACAGTGTTCCAGATGATAGAACTCTAGTGGGTCACTAACTATCGAGTTATTAACACACTTAGCCAAATGATTCTTTGATTATTCCCTCTTTTGTTTTATCAATCAGTCAGTCAGCTACAACGTAGGATCAGGCACATATATACATCGGTCCAAGTTGCCACAGCGTACTAGCACAAGAAGACGAACACCAAATTCATAGTAGTAGTTACTTCAATGGTAGTGATATATAGGAAATTGTGTATAAGGATGTAGTACATGAAAAGAGAATTAGTTGGTAGAAAGAAATATATAAAGCAATTTTAATCTCACAGTTTAACGGAAGATAAAGAGTGTATACACCTACGCCATTGTGATCGATTCCGAGCCATATCACCCACAGTCTCCAACCATTGCTTACGATAGCCACGCGGACCTCAACCGAGTAATCTGCATCTACCAACATGGATCAGACTAGAAGTTAGTGACTTCAAACACTTGTGCCACGTCTTGGTTTTGGCGCCCCTTCCTTGCAACCATCTCCTACACTAGTCAGCATTGCGCGTCGTGGTAATCAGTGTTTAGGCATACGTAACACGTGGCCCAACCATCTCAGTCGATGAAGATTCATGATCTCATCAACTGATTTACCATCATTCCTTAATACTCTGTGTCTAACCTCACTATTACTTACCCGGTTATCCCAGCAGATGCGAGCAATATTTCTTAGGCATCTGTGGTCAAATACTAGTAACTTACGAGTATCTTCTACTCTTAATGGCCATGTTTCACAGCCGTAAAGTAGAACAGAACGAGCTGCTGCTCAGTATACTCGTCCCCTAATTGATAGACGGATATCTCGCCTTCGCCATAGGTGACGTAAGTTGGCAAAAGCCAAAGAGCTTTTTGAATCCGTGCAGAGATTTCGTCAGACACCAACCCGTTAGGGCTGATCAGACTTCCAAGATAAGTGAAGTTGTCGATGCGTTCGACTACTTCACCCCCTTATCCTTAGTTCAGGTGTTGACGCAGGTCAGTCCTGGAACAACAACTTGCATTTAGATGGGGGGGAACGCATTCCAAACATCCTGGCATTGCTGCTCAGTGCTACCGAAAGACTGCATTTTATCAACGTCTTTGCCAAACAGGACTACATCTTCTGCGTATTCCAAGTCTACAAGTGAACCTCCTCGTAGGAGATCAATGCCCAAAAATTCAGTCGACGAGAACGTTATTTCCAGCAGTAGGTCTATGATGAAATTGAACAAAAATGGCAATAGTGAACAGTTTTGTCGAACACCACTTGAGGTTGTAAAATCATATGACAGTTCGCCATAAGCTCTCACTCGACTGGTAGTGTTCGAGTAAAGGGCCCTCATAAAGTTTATGTACTTCAATGACAGACACTGTCACAGAACTTCTTTGTCTACAGAGTCAAATGCTGCTTTTAAATCAAGAAAAATTATCATTGTCGGGCGCTGATAGACATGTTTGTGTTCTGAAACCTGACGAATGGTTAGTATGTGGTCGATGCAGTTATGACCAGGTTTGAAACCAGCCTGATTTTCTCGCGTTTTCAGTTCACGAGTCTTTGTTAGGTGCTCAATAATTATTGAGGCTAGTATTTTAGATGCTATGTTAGTCAAACTAATCCCTCTATGGTTATCACAGTATGATTCTGACCCCTTCTCATATATTTGAGCAATCTGTGATTGCGACCAGTCATGTGAGATTACATTCAGTTTCCAGATTTCAGCTAAAATATTGGTCAACCTAATCGCTAAAACTGGACTACTATCCTTAAAGACCTGGAGTCAATCCATGTGGACCAGTTGCTCTTCCTCGTTTTCTAAAGTGTTTCTCCCATCGTTCTAAACATCTGGGCTGAGAGCAGATAAGAGTTTCGTCTTTTTCTGAGATTGTCTCGCTTACACTTGACTTCTTAATTCTAATTTCTTTTATTAGTCTGAAGAGTTGCCTGGCGTTGCCTACAGCCTCTGCCTTTTCAATTTATTTTGCTTTCGTTGCCCACCACTGCTCACGATCGTTCCTTAGACTTTTAGTCAACCTAGATCTGATTTGTTTACGCTCTTCATCGTGTTCAAAGCTGATGGGATGAGTTTACGAGAATCCATCAGTGCAACAAATCCGTCGGTTTCTCGTAACTCTTCAGTTCAGATCACTAATAGATGTTGCTGCTGTTTCCACAGCTATTTGTATATCTTTTTAAGCAACATCTGGATCAGCCTCGTTTACAGAACTGCCTAGATGTGAACTCAGTTGTTCCTGGAACTTACTTTTGGCTTTCTCATCCTCCAGTTCAATCGTAATGGGTCTTCTTAGTTTAGTTTTTCTGCTTTCAGTGAGGCGCAAACAGATGTGTGCTCGTATTAAGACGTGATCAGAGTCTAAAAATGTATTGCAGTACGAGCGACAATCTTCTATCAAACCTCTCCAACGATGACTGATGGCAATATGGTCTATTTGAGTCCATCGTTGGTTTGATGCAGGTGGTCGCCATGTTAGACGATGTCTCTCCTTATGCTTAAAATTAGTGCTTGCTAAAAATAAACGATTGTCTGAGCATAGTTGCAACAGACGATCACCATTATCGGTTCGTTGAGCCGGAATACTAAAACACCCACCTAAATGTTTTTCTGTTTGATTCAAGCTGCCTACCTGGGCATTAAAGTCACCCGCTACGACTACTATGTCTGAGCGCTTAGCTTTCTGAAGAAGCTCATAGAGCTTTCTGTAAAAGTCATCTTTCACTTTATCATGGCTGCAGTCAGTGGGAGCGTAGGCAGAAACGATGAAAAGACAATGACGTGTGTCCCTATCCTTCCGAGTTCTTACGGAGCCATTTAGCCGGACAGCACACAGGCGACTGTCAACAAGGATTCATTCTAGTAGTGCCTGTTCTGCCCTCGTACTTAGTGCTATACCTACATCTGCTAGTCCGCGAAAACTAGCCATCGTATCGTCAAATACATGAAGGATGTATCTCGTCGGCTTTCCGTTTTGGCGAGGTGAGATCAAATCAATGACCACACTTGAATCCTGTTTGCGTGTTTCGGGGATACAGCATACAACAATGAAACGAGATTCTAGGTTTTTAGCCAAGGAGGCCCGCTGACTGCTTTGACACAGGGTGCGTACGTTGAAGACTTCAATATGTAGTTTGGAACGAGGTTTCAGTAGATCTAGGACAATGTTTCACGCACTAGAATCGTTGGCCCTGGTGACACTTGAGCCAAAAGAAGAAGTTTAGAGTTGAAAGTCGATGTAGGAGGAATAATAGGAATAGAAGAGGGAGATTTATTATGAATACAGTTATCTTGAATGCTGTTAGAGGTATGAGGGCGGTTATCACTTTCCTGTTGCCCATACCGTGGAGGGGTTCTTCTGGAGGTACCTGAAAACAAAATAGGGTTAGGGGTGATCTTAGTGACCTGAGAGCGTGACCACAGTGACCAAGGGGCAACTGCTTGAGGCCAGTCACACATGACCTTTTTGTGAGTAGTTTTCGTGTCAGCTATGGCGAAGACGAGATATCCGTCTATCAATTAGGGGACGAGTATACTGAGCAGCAGCTCGTTCTGTTCTACTTTACGGCTGTGAAACATGGCCATTAAGAGTAGAAGATACTCGTAAGTTACTAGTATTTGACCACAGATGCCTAAGAAATATTGCTCGCATCTGCTGGGATAACCGGGTAAGTAATAGTGAGGTTAGACACAGAGTATTAAGGAATGATGGTAAATCAGTTGATGAGATCATGAATCTTCATCGACTGAGATGGTTGGGCCACGTGTTACGTATGCCTAAACACTGATTACCACGACGCG